TATGATAAACAGGAATACGGAAAATGTTGTGAAAAATTGTGAAAACGAGCAATAATAGCGAACCAATTGCAATGTAATATCTGGTACTGGCAGTCGTTGGCAAATTCGATGGTAGAGCGCTCCATAACTCCTTTGTATAATCTTCATGCTTCTAGTTCCTTATGTAGATTTTGGCATTGCCTAGTGTAGCTTGCAGCTTGCAGCGTTTGCTCGAACAGTTGTTTCGAGCATACCGATGGCAATGGCATAAATAAATGTGTCGATGGATAAGAGATAAAGCGCATCTTGTGCTTGAAGATTTCTTGTCAAAAACTAAGGCAAGACCGATTGTGATAATGAAAACATCGAACTACTTGTAAGCAATAGGATTTGACGAGCAATTTCCATATTTGGTGCAACAAGAAGATGGGACATTGACGTGGCTTCTTTTAACATTTGGAATCCAAAATTAATTAACCTATTGAAAGAGCAAGGCTTGACTTAATCGCATGTCGCACTAATTGCATTGAAGAAACACGAAAATGTTGTAGTAAACGAACGAATATTCGGATAAGAATTCGATTTGCTTTATTTGATTGTGTCATAGAATTGAAAATATTTTTCCACAAATTTGTCCGAGAAATTTATTGAACCCTGCGTCTTTTGAAAAGAATTCAAAAAAACATAATTCGTACGATATTCATTCCGTGTTTGCATTTCCTTTTTTATTACTTTGTTGCGTCTTCCAACACCGACTGACCTTAATCTATAATCTATGTTCCTGTTTGTTATGTATTATATATGTATGTCCGCTTTTTCTTATGTAAATAAATTTCATCAATTTACTCTAATTGATTTATTTTGCTGGTAGCACTTGCGTCGTTTGTTTACATTACTATTCAATTGAAATAAATAAAATAATAAATAATAATAAAAAAAAAAAAACAAAACAAAAAATAATAATAATATTGTAAACGTATAAATAAATATTCACAAGAATAATTTAATGTATTAGTGGAAGTTATTGACCATTTGTTTATCTGTATGATGACCCGATCAAGATAGAAGCAGAAAACAAGGCTATATCAATATACTTAAAATATATTTTGTTGTAATATCAGAGGTCAATCAATACCTATAAGAATATTCATATTCTTAAAGAATATATACATACATCCAAACTATAAATATAGAAATCTGTGTGTTGGCGTACACCTTCGATCAAGACAAAGTACATACATACATACATACATACATAAATAGTGCAAATTCGAAGCGTATGTATGTATATTGTTCTATTGACACACTCCCTTATTCTCTCTATGTAAAAACATTAGATATGTTTGTGTAAAGAGTATTTTCTCTTTGGCAAAATCGTTGCGATTGATAAACGTATACTAATATGTGCATGTAACACTGCAGCTTGTGCCAAAAGTCAGCTATGACGACTATACTCCGGTCTTAGAACACTGAACCCAAAAGCATTAAAAAGCACTTGAGCACTTTGCCAGCAACAACATTTCCGCAAGAAAAAGAGAACAAAATTTTGCTTTAGTTAGCATCATGGTTATCTGATTTTTTCCTTTTTCCAAAAAAACAAAGTGAAGACTTTATCAATCAATATTTTTTTTATTTATACCTATCACCGAAGGATGAGGGGTATATTCATTTGATTAAAACATTTGCAACATGCAGAAGGAAGCTTTAGAGACGTCACAAGGTATATATAATTTTGATTAGCATCAAATTCTGAATCGATTTAGGCATTTCCGTCTGTCTGTTTGTGTAGAGTTGTAAGCTGTCCCCTCGCCTCCAAAAATTTGACTTAAATATTGAAAATTCATGCGGGCAGATTGAAAATGGGCCAAACCGGTCGAAGGACACGTCTACAGTGAACTCGAAAATACCTTTGTTTTCGAAAAGAAATAAAAACTTGGTTTTCGCTCATTACTCATTACAAGGTACAGGAGATAAGACTTCAGACATGGGAACGTATACTCTCCGGACGACGTTATAGTATCTGCAAAAGAATCCAAAATTTGCTTAGGCTTACCCAATATTAGGATGTATTTAGTTTAAATGTGTCAAGGCAAGTTTCGGAAGCCCCATAAAGTGTTCGAAATGCAAATAAGCGCCTCCGTCCGTCCTTGTCCGCCTATTGTATGCATTCACTCGTTCGTAAAAATAAAGATACCGCGTACAAATTTGCAACAGAATTTGAAAATGGATCAAACCGGTCAAAGCATGTGCCCGCAATGCAATAAAAGTAGAAGAACGCTGTTCTTTCACTGCTCTTGGCTCGTCACTCTTAAACATCAACAGCTATACGATGTAAATTTCTACATTTATTCTAAACAATAGCAAAACATCGCCGCGCCCACTAAATATTAGTTTGGGGAAAAAGAAATCCATTATTTTTTCGGTAGATGGCTGCACTGATAGATTTCTCGTAAACTATCGATCAAACAATTTCAGATTTATACTCGTTGGAAAGGTGACATTTCGCAGTAAAAAAAATTCTTTTGCTGTTTTTTGTTTGGTGCATTCAGTTGTGAGTTACAGCGTGTTAAAAATGGAAGTGAACAAAGAGAAAATTCGGTACATTTTACAGTTTTTCTTTGACAAAGGCCAAAATGCAAGCCAGGCGGCTAAAATTGTGAATGGTGTTTATGGTTCCGATACTGTAACAGCCAAGGTAACAGGTAAGGTTTTGCTATGCATTTGGTGGGACTGGAAGGGGATGATTTATTATGAGTTGCTTCCATACGGCCAAACGCTAAATTCTGATCTCTACTGTCAACAACTGGACCGTTTGAAGATAGCGATTGACCAGAAACGGCCAGAATTGGCCAACAGGAGAGGTGTCGTGTTCCACCAGGACAACGCTAGGCCACACACATCTACTGTGACTCGCCAGAAACTTCGGGAGCTTGGTTGGGAAGTTTTAATGCATCCGCCATACAGTCCGGACTTGGCACCAAGCGATTATCATCTTTTTCTTGCATTGCAAAATTTCTAAAATTTCTTTCTTCCCCTCTAGGGAGAATTGTGAAAATCGACTACTAGAGTTTTTTGCAAATAGAGACCAAGACTTGAGAGAGGCATTTTGAAGCTACCTTTAAAGTGGCAACAAATCATACAACAAAACGGTGCATATTTGACCCAAATCGGACAATCCGAAGCATGTTAAATAAAGTCCTGAAGTTCATATAAAAATAATGGATTTCTTTTTCCCCAAATTAGTATTATAGAATATGAATATTTGGTTTTTTAATTTTTTTTTTTACAATTTTTTAGGACATAGGTTACAATCGAAGAATATAATATTTTTTTTTTTTCGTTTTTATTATTCCCTGTGGTGTATATTAAGGTAAGGTGCATTAAGTTTGTGCGGATGTAGGCAATACCAAGAAGGATTTGGCGCTAGATCCCTACCTTCTATTACACTGATTGTTGTCTATCCATCTGTACATATTATTTTCTTGTGCTCAATGGCCGTAATTTCTGAGACGAGGCGGTCCAAGAACAAACGCTCTTCAAAATGGCTCGGATTGAAACACTTTTTTTTGCACTTCCCATAGAAAGCCTTCTTTTAAAAAATCGCTTCATGAATAACTGTAGGATGAAGTAGGGTATTCAATGATGAGTAGTGACTCACTATAGTATTTGTACTTGTCTTTTTTTTTTTTTTTTAATTTTTCGGATAAGTCATTATTATCATTATTATTAATTTCGCCAGAGAAATAAATTTTAAGACTAAGCTCCTGAAGCATTAGCATCTAAGGCCGATAGGTTTTTATTAAAAACTCTACCGCACTTGAGAGTCGAACCCATGATTATTGAGTTGCTAGTCGAGAGTCGTCACCTTCGGCCACTCAGGCGGATTCGGATAAGTCAAAAAATTTACTTGTTTTGAAACAAATGATACAAATGGTGTTATGTAATGTTTGTTATGTTTTCATTAAAAAATTTGTTCACATTTCGTAAGATCGAATCTTAGGTCTTATTACGCGAATATAATATTAGTCTGATCTTAAGAGATAAAAATTCATGGACATGTGCATTTTATTTATTCCTTTTTAATGTTTGTTAATATGTAATAACGTCATCTAATTTATTAGGCACAATACTTTTTAGATTATCTATTGGTATTTTTAATTAATTGTCTTTTCATTCGCTTATATTTAATTTATTAAAAATTTTAATAGGAATTTATGATCGCACACTTATTAATTGAAACATGTTATCGTCAAGACTTGAAAGCATATTTTTATTAATTTCATGGAACAGTTTTCTTTTAGTCTTTTAATGCAAAGTGAACAGAAACGGAATAAAATCTTTGAATTTAATGCGTGAGTAAAAGAACGAAAAAGAATTATAGTAAAGTGTCGTTCTAAGGTCATTTTAAATGAAGGCTTAGATCGTGTAAGTGATAAGATAATAGCTGAGATAGTCTTTATTTCTTAAGGAGTCGTCTTTTATATATGAGCCTTTGATCGTAATATGATCCAATTTAATAAAAAAAAGTTTTATCCTTGAAATAGCATTAAATGCTGACTTCAGGATCATACTGGAACGCGAACATCTTCTCCTCAGAATTCTTTGTTCAACTTTTTGTTTGTGCTGACACACAACTAACACCGCTATAGCCTTCGCTTTTTTACATTCAATTATGATTAAATTATGGATTATAGTGAATTTTCTTAATCGATTGTTGATTTATTTCTGTCCTTACCTATCGCTGTGTGCTTTTGATCAATGTCTTCGTTACATGCTTGTCGAACATACATTAAATAAAGAGCTTAGAAATTTGGCTTTATTTTGTAGCCTTTGTAGCGTATAGGGATTGTGTTCGCTCGAGTGAAAGTTCGCTATGCATGTATGCGCAGTGTTCATCATGCGTGTACGTACATATTTCTTAAAATTAGAAATTCTTACATAAAATTATGTAATTAAAAATTTTTGCGCAAATTTTTTAAATTAAAATTACTTTTAATTAATTCATTATTTATCTCTTATAGGGGATGTCGGGCTGTGATCAAAGCACTATCGAATCGGTGGTTGAAGATTCAACAGATTCACCGTTTGATGCCGATGAATGTCTTAAGGTTCGAAAATATTGGTGCTTCTTGCTGTCCAGCATTATTACATTTCTTGTTGGATTGTTCATTGTGTTACTATGGCGAGCATTCGCATTTGTATGCTGTCGCAAAGAGCCCGATTTGGGGCCCAACGATGCCAAACAGAAAGAGCAAAAGGCGAGAAACAAGCAGGAATTCGAAGGTACCTTTATGACAGAAGCTAAAGATTGGGCTGGGGAACTTATATCAGGCCAAACAACAACAGGTCGAATATTGGTAAGAATATAAATGTCATTAAAAGATGTCATTGAAAGATGACTGACTAACAGTACATAAATATTTTTGTGCCACAAATTTCAAATTTCATTTACTCTTACGTTTAATTAGAGAAGAGAGAGTAGGAATTAGCAGCAATTTCCGCAATTGATTGTCTTCTATTAATTTCATAGAGTAAATGTAAATGGGTCACGGTTCAATGTTATTTCATAATAATAATTGCAATGCAAATTTATGCTAAATGCAAAGCAATAAACATATTGCAAAGTAATAAGCAAATCGTCGTTGAATTTTGTAGAAAATGCAACTAATGTGGAGGTAAATGGAGATTCTGGCGACAATTTTGGAAAACATTTTCAAAAAGCTCTGAACTTTTCCAAATTTTAAGAATTTTTCTATTAATGGCTCGGTTTACCGTTGTCGATATCTAGCTATCGTACGATACGATCGAAGTTTGGGTTGATAATACTCGTTTGCTTTCGTATTGAGTTTAAGTTTTTGTTTTGTTCTTGCTATTGCACAAAGATTTCAACATATTTTTAAATGATATGTAGTTTATGTATCTTTACTAATTACATATATATTATCAAGAGCTTTTGATTTTTTATACCCCACTACACCTTTTTTTTTTTGTGAGGTGGAGAACCATCAAAAGGCGCCCATTAGGGCAGTGCGAGACTTTAATCCGATAAAAACCGCCTCTCCTCTTCCCTATCCTGTGGCACGACCGTTTAGGTATACCTTCACAGGGTGGGTAGTCGTTTAGGCACTACTAAAAAGCGTTAGAAAAGCCCCACTGCACTTGTGGTATTGAGTTTGTGCGGACACTTGTCACATCTTTTATGACAACGATCGGTTCAGTCTAATTTCTGAATTGGTCTAAGCTATCTGTCTATCCGTTTGTCCATCTGAATTCTGTCCATGTGTAATTGTGTTGATCGTCATGTATTCCAGACTGCGCTTTTCGAAATTTTTTGATGAAACTTGATACGTAACGCGATGTGTTTTGACCCAAGGACAACCGCTATTGAAAATGATTCTGATTGGATCACTTTTTCGACCACTTCCCAAATTGATAAATCGTTGTACGAAAAAAGATGGTAGTCTTTAGAATTTCGCGACAGAAATCGGTGTAAGAAATGTGCAATTTTTTGAACCCTTTGCGACATAACCATCCCCATCTGTATATGGTGAAAAGGTTGAAATTTCAATATTTCTTGATAAAGATTTGTTCATAGCAATAATTTGATATCACAATTAATCTTATCGAATTTGGATCAGGTAGATCTATTTTTTAGATTCCAGCATGTAAAAGTGTTCTAATGAACAAGGCTTTATATGCCGAAAAGGTCTAATTTGTGATATTTTATTATGAAAATTTGTCTTTACTAAGTTAGTTAATCATAGGTAATTTTCATCACACACATCTATTCTTTAGACCACACCATATATGGCGGGTTCTCATGAAAGCAAACCCTTCTATGGCGACAAAGGCTTATTTTTGGCTTTTTATGAGCGAAACAACTTGAAGATAATGAAATCTTCGACAAGTAAATTAAGTTTGATAAATTTAGACCACATCGACATTTGAATATTCTTCAATAGGAAGGGTTTCATGAAAATTGTATAATTTTTCGTATATTAATGATTAAACGAAGTGGGGTATGGGGTATCCAATGGTCGGCCTTGCCTGACTATAGCATTCTTATTCTTGTTTTTTTTTTTTTTTCTTTTTCTTCTTAATTTCAGGTCGTATTGGTTTTTATACTCAGCATTGCATCACTTGTTATATATTTCGTTGATGCGTCTAGCGAAGAAGTCGAAAGATGTCAAAAATGGAGTAATAACATTACTCAACAAATCGATCTCGCGTTCAATATATTTTTTATGGTTTACTTTTTTATACGAGTAAGTCTTCTGTTTGTATTGCTTTACTTTATATTTTAATTTTGCTTTGCTTTCAACTTTTGGCAGACTACAGCAAATATGCTCCGTATACGCAATATTCCATAAAGGATATTTACTATTATTAGCATTGTTTCCGTATAGCCTTCCTTAGGAAGCAATAAGTTCCTAAGCTAACTTCTCTTAACTTTCAAGTGCGGCAAACAGAGGAACTAAAGAACTTCTCCGCTGCTTTTTTAAATTATTTGTTAATTCATTTTTTTAAATTTCTTGAGCTTATTTTTCAATTACTTTGAATGAGTGATTATTTTCCTCAAGAATGAATATTTTACAGTTAACTTCATATCAAATCGATCAAATTATATATAGCACCGAGTCATACTGAATACCCCTCTCTTTTGGTTTCTTGTTATAGGGTTCATGACGGACGATACCGCCATCAAAAAAAATTACCCGAACTTATCGGGTCAACATCCGATTAACCGATAATACGAAAAGCAGTACTTTTACCTCAAATCTTAAGTCAAAGTTAAAAGTTGTAGTCTGCCCTACTCGGCTGTGGTGTATTTTAGTTTTTTTTTTTTTTTTTTTTCATTTATTTTATCAATTGGTGATTGTTAACAAAAATATATGTTACTTGTTTTATTTTTCCAAATTTCATTTACAGTTCATAGCGGCCTCCGATAAACTTTGGTTTATGTTAGAAATGTACAGTTTCGTAGATTATTTTACGATACCCCCGTCCTTTGTATCAATATATTTAGATCGGACTTGGATTGGTAAGAAAAAAAAAATATATAAAAAAATAAAACAAAAAACAAAACAATGAAAACCAAATTAAAAAAAAATGCAAGACAACTATAGATTCGTCTTAGGACGAATGCTGATTAGTTACCATCCACCTAAAGGTATAAGTAAAAATAATTTATTGTTTTCTTAATAAAGATTTTGATCTTTACTTTTACATAAGTTATATATATATATATAAGTTATATTCTCGTAACATTTTTAATGAATATCTCTGCTGTAGAATATATCTTGGATTCTTATGTGTAAGATTCGAAAGGTCTGCATTTGTTTCGTGAATGAACCTCTTTTGCAATACTTAAGTAATGAGACGGCTATAATTCAATGGTCTCTGAATATTTGGTTTTGATTTAAGCATAATACCTTAAAAGATCTTTGATATATAATAATATATAACAATAATAATAACATACGTCAGCCCTGGCCTTTGGTGGTGGTATCAAAATATTTTGCTGTTAATTTTAAAAACAAATTTTTTTTTTTTTTTTTTTTTTTATAATACTTCATTTTTATTTTTTTTTATAAAAATTATATTTTAAGAAAATTTTATCCAAAAAAAAAAAAAAAAAAAAAAAAACGCAAATCAACTCTAGGTCTTCGATTTCTTCGAGCGCTACGACTTATGACCGTTCCAGATATTTTACAATATTTAAACGTTTTGAAGACATCGAGCTCAATACGCTTGGCGCAATTAGTATCAATTTTCATATCCGTATGGTTAACGGCGGCTGGAATTATACACTTGGTATGTTATATTAAAAATTGTGTGAAAATTTTCACGGTTGAACATTTCTTATTTACTTATTTACTAAACAAGGCCAGAGATTTGAAATTTGAATTAAGAAACCTACGAAATGTTCATATCGGCGAAAATTCTATTAAATTTGACTTTTGAATGATCTTTTTGGGACCAGTAGTCCAGTAGTGTGAAACGTAAAAGTAGAGAATTTTCTTAAAAATTCTTGCATTTACTTAAAATTTAGCTGGAAAACTCTGGCGATCCGCTGGATTTTAATAATGCTCATCGTTTATCCTATTGGACCTGTGTCTATTTTCTAATCGTAACCATGTCAACGGTAGGATATGGCGACGTATACTGTGAGACTGTTTTAGGAAGAACGTTTCTAGTGTTTTTCTTACTCGTTGGCTTGGTAAGTGGATTATTGTATTCATTTAATTACATTATTGATATTACAATATTTTTAAAAGCAACAAACAACAACAAACCAAATTTATATAATATACAAATCTAAATAAATTTATTATTCGTTATATATAATAATTATTTGACGTGATATCATCTCTCAGGGGGTCAATATAATTCCTTTAATGCAAACAAAAAAAAAAAAAAAATAAATAAATAAATAAATAAAATTAAACAAATTTTGCGGGCAATCATAAGAAAATTTATCGACGTTTTCTTTATTTCGATTCTAGTTCTAGTGTACCGCAGGTTTAATTCACATAGAATGGATCTATAATGAATTGATTGTAAATGAACTAATCTACAAGATCTAATCAAGATCAAGTATCTATCTATTTATTTGGGCACATATGCTACATAAAAGTAGATATAAATTTTCTTATATATTTTCTTTCTATTTATATTTCTTCTTTCTTCAATTTGAATATCATAAAGGTAGATTTCGAGTTTTTAAGGTTTACTTACAAAAAAAAAAAAAAAAAAAAAATTTTAAAATGATAATGAAAATTAAAATCGCGTATTTATTTTTAATCTTAATTCAATTCTTATATATATATATCAAACGAACATATATAATATTAAGTATTTACACAAAAATAAATTACCCCGATAGGTCAGCACATTTTGTTTTTTTTTTAATATATCGTAGAGACATGTTTTTCTTGATAATAATTTCAATTTTTTGCAAATTTTGTTCATATTTAATATATAGAGTTAACTTAAATGCGATAAAGACAATTCGCAAATACATTATGTAAATATTAGTTGATTTCGTTTACCGAAAGGCTATTGCCTATAATCACATATACATATGTTTCCGCCAATTAATAGTTCTCGAATAGTCTGCGAAACAATCCATTTACGTTTATTCTTCATTAAGTTTATTTTGCATGCGTTGTAATACCTAAGCAGTTATGACAGTCTTTAGACAATTGTTTTCTTTTTTCTTTTTTCGACTTTTTCCTTTAAACGTTTGATTTACGATATTTTTGTTCTTATCATTCTTTGCAAAACTTCGGTGAACAAATTCTGTCGCTCAGCATACTCTAAATTGATTAAATTTACATATTTTTCTTACCCACCACCGCGAGCTAGACGAATGAACCAGATAGGCACCATTTTTGTTCGAAGATTTCCTAGGAATGTGGTAATAGAGCAGTTTTAACATATTCGCACAATTTTCAGGGTAATCGATTCAGATTTAAAGCGATAATAATTTAATTGTGCCCGATATAGTCTGTTCTGTAAACACCACTGTAACTTCACCGATGCCAATCAGGCTTCCTTAACAGTTCGCATTCGAAAAATTACACTGTCGTTTCTTCGCGAATCGCAGTGCAATCGCGGACAACATAGGCCTGAGTTCATTGTTTATGAAGTGTACAGTATTTTATGGCCGCTGAAGTGACGTTTTTCACATATTATGAAGCTTCGTTTTGCTTTTGTGGTCTCATGTGATTAATTTAATGTCTTTGCAGCCAACTTTCGGTGGTGAACTTTTCTTTTTTTTTTTTTGCTTCTTTGTACTTCTTTTAGCTTAACTTTACTGATGTAAAACTGTGATATGTTGTGGTGCAGAGTTTTTTTTGGTTAAGCAAAAGATCCTAATTTCTCAAATTGGGACCTAATAAAATCTGCATGGGGTCGGGCAAAGAGGCTAAGCCTTAGAGGTCGCCAAAAGTCAAAACTGTCTTTTAAGGTAAAAAACAAAATTGACAAATAACATCTTCCTGCTGGTGTCAGTGTAGAAGGCTCGGCATTTTGGGCATGGGGAACATAAAACAATGTTTGTTGGACAGAGCATTTGTTCAAAATCCTGACAGATACAGCCAAGCCAAGCAATAGGTGCAAAGAATACCTCACTGCTGCCGATATCCGGCCAATTACTGTGTAATACGGACATCGGGACGAAGCTCTCCAAACTCTCTCACGGCAACAGGCTCAGATACTCATGCGAGTGAGTGTAAAACTCTCGATATCCTTGAGCATCGGCGTGATGTGTGCCTATATTGTGCTTGTGTATAGGTACGTCCGAGGGGAATGTGCTACAGAGATAAAAGGGATTTATCCACTAATTAAGTCCTTTTGTCGTGAAGGTATCTACATACCGCGTTACACAATATTGTAACTCGTCGCTCTTTAATCATGTCGCCTCCCGTCGGGACGTCCTACGTGCAATGGTCTTTCCTATCGTATCTGAAGTCGATAAGTCGAACGTTGACAAACACCACTACCTCTCTCCATCCGTATCTTTCTATAACCTTTCGTGACCATTGCCGTGCCCACACATATAGAGAATCTTTTCTAAAATCTAAGATCTTTTAAAATTACCCTTTTAATTTACTCTGTCACGGCACTACGATCTAATAGGTTTTAGATTCTCCATGGATATGTACACTTTTCCATTTGTCTATTGCTGATAGAAATTCTCTTGCAACTTACTATAGAAAGTGAGAACTTAGTTCATATATTTATAGGTGATCCTCGTGGGGGAAGGGATTAAATAGAATAAGTCCACCCGTAGAAACTTAGCGAATATACATTTTAAAGTCTTCGCATCAGTATCTCATCGAAATTATTTCGTTCTCTTTTCCAACTATAGGCTCTCGTCTTGTGTGCTTATTTAGAAAGTGCTCAGAGAAAATTGCTTCTAGTTCCATTCATTCTCATTTGTAATAATATTCATGTCAACAATTCCACCAACAACATTTCTTCTCTAATTTTTTTGAACCTATTTGCTTGTAGCATACATTTGAAGTAAGCAAAATATCTAAAGGATTGTAATAAGCCTTTAATTGCGTAGCGTGCTAGTGTACGGTGCATAATATTACTTGAATGCCTTTTTCATTTAATTACAAAGCTTAATAGGAGGGTGGGGGAGGGGAGGGGGAGGGGGTCCCCAGCATTTAAGAAGGTGGTGGGTATTCAAGATTCGGTTCAAGACGAATATATATATAGTTTTCTCATTTGTTTTATCGATTTTCGCGTACAACATTTTGATTTTTTTCGTAAATTATTTTCGTAGCTTTTCATTTAAGTTTGCATGCAATGCTGGCGGCTGCATACATTTTTAATTTTTTAAAGCTAACAAAATAAAACAATTTATAAATTCGTGAGTCTAACATTATAGCTTAAGATACATTATATAATTGTGAGATTACCTCCTTGATGAATATGAAAAGAACTTGGACAAATTATGCGTTAAATGGACGCAAAGATATCCAATAATAATAAGAGATTTATGACATGGTTTATACAGAGGATACAATATTGCATATGAGAGGATTTTCTCTTTTTTTAACGCGACAAACGCGAACATAACAAATATCATTACTTTCCTTGCAGTAATCGTGATCGATTATGGAATTTGATGGACGTTTGCAATAGTTATTGCAGTAGTAGTCTTTGATAAGTTGAAATGTGACAAGAAATTAAAACCAATTTCACGGACTCGCCAAGCAACGGAGTAGGGACGGGAATATTAAGAAGAGTTAAGCCTGCGCTTCATTTCGGAGGGGAGACGAAATAAATTAATGATCTTGTAATAACGTGGAGTGACGTGGAAGGAAAAACGGAGGCATATAAGCATCCGTGTCAATTACAAATTTTTATTGTGGTACCGTCTCCCTTATAAAGGGAACTTAAACGCCTTCTTCGGTTACCGTTAATGATGTAGGGTGACATGATTTCTTTTTTGCTTTGGAAAGACGATCGAAATGTTTTTTAACATCGAACTCGTAACATTGAACTTTTCTTACATTTTACTATATGACTATTGACTAAACTACTTTCCATTATTGGGCTGTTTTATGCTTTATAAGAGACTTTTACTTTCTTTTTCGAATTTAGGAAAAATTCACTCATATGTAAGATTGGGAAAATCGGATACGAAATCAATTTCATAATGAATAAAATCTTATGAATTCATTAAAAAAATGTATAGACGTACTCGTACATATACATATACATACATATATATATATATATATATATATATATATGTATATATATAGAAATGTACAAGAGAATATGATAAAAGTTACCATGAATTAATAAGAAAATTGAATATTTTGTCCTTTAATAAGAGGCAACAAAAAAAAAAAACAAACATAATATGCTATACACAAAATATTTGATGCAATATAACCAAAATTTTAGGCAATGTTTGCCAGCAGTATACCGGAAATAATTGAACTTGTTGGTAGTGGCAATAAATATGGCGGCGAACTTAAAAGAGAACACGGAAAGAGGTAGATTATGTTAAAAAAAAAAAAAAAAAAAACAAAACAAAAAAAATTATTAAATAAATAAAGATAAAGAAAAACAGACTTCCATCACAACTCTGACATAACTATCATCCCTTAAAACTGGCATTTTGTAATAATGCAATAACCATCAAAATGTAAACATATGTTAAATGTGTAATTCAAACATATATATATATATATATATACTTATATTATCCCCTATAGATGTTCTTCATTTTTTTTTTTTTCTTTCGGTTTAGTATCTTATGTTGTTTTCAAATTATTTTTAATTTCATTTTTGAGACCATTTTTTTTTTCCCTTTCATCATAACGAGGCTTGAATTATCTTTTTTGTTGTGATTTGCAATTTGCAAAAAAAAAAAAAAGAAAAAATTCCAAGGCAATCATTTTGGATGTAATCCAAGACTAATAACATACATCATTTGTGGCACACTTTGCCATCGAATCAGATAATTCCGGCCCGAAATTTAATGAGTTCCCTTGGCATTCAGTTAATGTAAATGTTGACAATATTTTCATAATTCTTTTCATGTAATGTTTCTAAAATCATTCACACGAGCTTGAAGTTAAGCTTAATAACGTTGCAATAATTTTGCTTATTTAATAAATTGATTTATTATTTATTTATTTATTTTCTGTTATCATCAATCCACTAAGACTCAGGCAAATAGCTTGGGGTAGCGTCATACATTAATATATATATATATATAAATATATATTAATATATATATATATATATATATATATATATACTTACATTATGTGACATTCACTTAGTTTATTTTATGAATAGTTTTCATACATTCATACATTCATACATTTTTTTTTTCCTACCATTTGTTTTTTTTTATTGTTTTTTAAATAACTGCTTTTTAATTGTATGATATATGTGTGTTATGTATATTTGTAACATTTAAGTAATTTTCACTTCGGTATTTAAAAAAAAAAAAAAAAAAAAAAAAAACAGAAAAAAGAAAAACTAAATTTAAATTTATCAATGATTATCATTTCGTAAATAGAAAAAAAACAAAAGAAGAAAAATAAGAATTAGATCGGCCGGCCTTATATTGAGAACACATTCAAGCAAGTCTTCGTAATTGTCTTATTTTTTAGAACTTTGCTCTTCTTTGCTTAGTACTTTGCATTCTGTTACTTTCCCGTTATAGACATTTCGTTAAATAAACGTCGGTTAACAGTATCGATTAACTTCGTTTCGCAAATCCCCAAATCCCATTATGAGTTTTACTGCTCTTCTTCATTTTATACTGTCCGCATACAATTTCAATTTACGTTAAGCTATTATTATATAAGTGACTTAACTCACATCCAAACAGCTTAGCTTAACTTTGCTGATCATTTATCTCATAGAAAAGGGAAAGGAAACTACTTATGGAAATTTGTCTCTCATTCAATGCGCTGTCTTGTGCAGTCAGGCATTGACATAGGAAGCTATATGGAAAAATATCGGGTGAAGCGTATATTATGCTAGTTAAAGTAAGCTTTTAGGCGTTTTTTCCCACGCTATTTGATTGTGAATATTGAGAGAATTCCAAAAATTGAATTGTGAAAATAGGCTAAATTCATTCACAAAAATCCGCCCATTATATCTAAAGTCCCTGAATGTTTAGGAGAAACTGAAAATATCAAGTTTTCACAGCAATTAATTGGCGATGTAAGCCAATTGTGTATATTAAATGCCTTTCTAGAATTTTCTCCAGCCACAAGAATTCACTCCTTATGATAGTTTTAAGAAAATTCTCACGTAATATCTCCGATCTAGTTGCTGTTATGGTCATAACCTAGTAATCAACCTAGTTCGGTTTAGGTTATTGCGAATTATATTACGGATGCTGAGCTAATCAATCAAGTCGTAGTTTTCCATTTCCCGTATCTCGGCGCATTTCATTAAAAATCTTGTCTTCGATTTGTTTGATTAACAAACGTACAGAATTTTTACGAATTTATGACAAACTATTGAAATTTTTCCTTGCCTTGCTTGTCTTTAATGGCCTTTAAATAAATAGCCGCCTGATCCAGTTAATTAATTAACTAGCGCTCTTATCGTTTCCTCTTCATTTATCGGTTCCATTTATAGCTGATATTTTCTTGCAATATACCTTACGAACACATTGTAGGGAGATTATTAGTCGCAGAACATAAACACTTCCAAGCGGAGCAAAGGAGTTGAGAAAGTAATCCATCTCCTTTACTGGGACATCAGTAGATACAAAATTCCAAAATATTTTGTCAGAAATTCTTCAAAAATTGAGAATTTGAACACGGGGACACAAGCCGTGCTACGTGCTACGCGCTCGGAAATTGTAACCCATTTCGAAATTTGATTTGCTTCCTCTAAGTAAGTCTTAGCTGTTTGTTAATCGATACATAGATGGATACATAACTCAATGAATTATTTGTTATTCCACAAAATATTGGGTTGTTCGAAAAATTATTTTGTGTTTTTTTTTTCTTTTTTTGACCTCATCAATTCTTGTTCTGCATATTGAATCAACTAATGCTTTCATTCTATTGTCATCAGATCGAGCTGGCGTCATGCATTTGCAACGCAACTAAATGTCATAAACCAATTCTGGCATTAGCGTTCTGTCAAGGCATCACTCCATACACATGCAATGAATAGAACTTTTGTCGAATTTTGCAGAAAATACTGCTTTTGGTTTTCCAAATTTGATAACGAACGGAACAAAATCAATTCCACAGAATCAAACAAGCTTTGTCACAAACAATTCTTACTTGGCGGCCAGTGGTCATCTGTCAATATATATAATGGCGATTTCAGTGTTGAGTTGGCTGTCAAAAAACGGTAAAAATTTTCCGAACAACCCTTTATAAACCGAAAAAATTCCCTATTGTTAGCTGTTATGCCTTAATGTTTGACCCAAATCGATCTTCGGACCTAAACATATTAAATATGTATAAATGTACGTGTATGATTTTAGAGTATCAATTCATTTCACTTATTCAATTCATAGTCATTTAGATGCTCATAGGCATTTGAATCTAACTAAAGTTTTGTCTACGGTTAGGCTCAATATAATTTCGACAAGCTGATATGTTATTGCGCTTTGCTTCTCATGCCATCTTCATAAATAGATACTAAGCAGATATTTAATTTAAGCTATTGTAGATGAAGCATTGAACAAGCGCGACAAACTCCATGGTGTACAAGATTTCATCACTGCACATTTATATGAAATTTTCAAATTGTTATCATATATTATATTATATTATATACAAGACGTTATGAAAGCGAAAACATATAACATAATCGAAAAATCCCAAAAATTATATACAATAGCCATTCGATATCTTAAGCTAGTGGAGGGCAATATATGTAATTATGCTGATTAAGCGATGAACCCTTTTTTTATGTGTAATATTGTTGCGTCTAACTTCAATAGGCTTTATGAGGCGTAATTTATCTGCAATAATAATAATCTGATATCATCTCAGAATTATTTTTGAAAAATGTACTAAGGATTTTTAATAATTGAAAGGGTGCCATTTACTGCATTTATATACATATGCAGCATAATAGATTTCTTATATGCCTCCATGTCTGAAGAAAATAAATAGTCTCAAGTTGTTTGCAATCTAATTGCTTGAACACCTGATTCACCACACCAGCTTGGAACAGGTGCTAGCCAGCGTCTTCAGTTTGAAGACGTAATAGCGCTGGTAGCCGCTCCATATTGACGACCAAGAAACGAATTGGTTCTAGTACTTTCTTCGGTTAAAATATTTTCTCTTCTATCATGAATTTTGTTCGAAACCAGAACAATCATCTCTCTTAGCTAGTTGCATGCCTAGTGAATAAAGCGAGAATAGTTGTATAGTTCCTGCTCTTCCTGGTTGTGATCACATAGCTGAAAGTTAACTTTCGCTTTCGTTTTCAACTAATTAGCAAACACAACCGATACGAAAAACAAAAGTTACATTATTCAAATAAATCGTCCCAAAGGTGTTTGTAGACGTTATGGTCCGATAGGTGTTTGTAGACGTTATGGTATGATGCAAAATATAAAAACTATATAATTTTCTTCGGCTATGAATTTTGCCCTGTAACTTTGGTAAAGGCTGACAGAACTGACCTTGTCATGGACCAATATAATTATAATTTTATCAATGTCTTGCTCGCTTTATTTCTCTTCCTTGGACGTTCAAGTAGAGCATTGAAAGAATTGAAAGCAATAGTATAACGCCGTCCTATATCCGATTTACATTCATAAATACAAATTTTTAGATTCGTTCAATTAAATTTAAAGTTTGCATACCGAGAGCATTTTTCCTAACCGAAATCTTACAATGTCAACTGACACTGTTTCGATGCTCCATCTTTTTTTTGCATTATCTTATGATTTTTATTTAAAAGCATAGTCAATAAATAGATTTATTAAGGGATCAAGTCAATCAATGAATTAAAATTAAGCAAAATTGATGTACACTTCACATACACATGCAGTCACTTAGCAAGTAGTTCTCTATACATGTTGTATGGTATTGCGCTTTATATGTTGATAACTCGTCCAAGTTACGCTTTTTAAGAAAACTCTTAATTAGCTTATGCATATTCTGCTTTTTAATATTGTAACATTCTTTTTTTAAAAGCAAAAGGGAAGGCAAAAATCAGCTGTCCCTGCTTTCTTCTTCGTCGCTTTCTAGTGCTCATTAAAAGTTAGTTAGTGTCAGATTCAGTTTTCAGACAATAATAAGAGTTGTAAGATCTATCCGGATCTATCAGAGGAATGGACATGCTCTTCATCAACATAAAATTTCATAACATACTGTATGGTATAAGAAGTAGGATTTGTATTCATGTCAGTAGATCTTATTTCTCGGTCGCGGATATGAGAAATAAAATTTCTCTGTCGGTAATTTTGTTTTATTTATTTTTATTTATTTATTGTCTACATATATTTTTAATATATAAATTTACAAAGTATGAATTTAAAGAAGGCTGC